ATTGACTTTTGGCATTTGAGATGAAAATATTACAAAATAAAATCTCAAATTAGCATTGGAAGTCAGTAGAATTTCAGACATTGGCTGTGTTGTCCCATTAATAATTTTATCATAAAATTTCTCGTTCTGATTATTACCAGAYCAATTCAAACTTTAAAGCTTAGCATCAGCAAAAACACTCAAATTTTTTTGGTGACTGCTCACATAATTACGCTTTGAAAAGCTGCATTTTCCAATCTTTCTGATAATAATTTTTAAAAATGTGCCTGTCTGTCTGTCTGTCTGTCTGTCTGTCTGTCAGTCAGGGAACGAACATTGACGATGATGAAATCAGGGCTGGACGACCTGACCAAGCAGAGGATGCTGCAGTCTAGAGCTCTGTCTCAGGAGGCCCGAGGTAGTATGTTAGGATGCAAGTGTTATATTAATTTTTAGATCCAGACTTTCGTGTGTTCACAGTTTTTATTTTGCCGGACTCAGAGTGAGCTCAGAACGGAAGTGAGTGAAGCTTTGGAAACAAAGTGGGACTGTGATGCACTGAAATCCCAGAGGTGAACCYTGTCTTGTTGAAATTCTCCAAACATTCAAGCAGCAGAGACAAGCCCAGCTCCACTGTTTCTTTCCCATCACCAAAGGCTTTGAAACAGAGTCTCGTAAGCTCAGCAAAATGTGACTCCCATCGCTGATTTATTTATTTATTTTTCTACACGGGCCGATCAAAGGRAGCTCCTCGAGGGGTGGCATATGCCCAGACCTCTCCCGTCACTTATCGTGCTGGAGTAAAAAGGGCCATCTGCTCCGACACAAGTCTTTCATCCACAGATCCTATTTACATGCCTCGTTTCCCCGRTCAACTCGGGGAGCACAACAAACATTACACACCACTTGACATCATCTCCAGGCTATTTCAGACCCACCGTCATGCAGTGAGAGAGCGCGAGGAGAGAGAGACAGACGGAAAGCTGCATGGTTACTCGGTGATTCTACACTCGGTCTGGCGTCTTCAGATTAGTCCACCTCAGCTGTCTCACGATGACAGAAACAAAAAGAATAAGATGCTTGTTAGGGTTCGGGTTTCTTTATCAACTTCATGTCATTTAGCAGTAATAGACACTGTCATGGTAAAAAAAAAAAACACGCTTTTCTACCCGTTGTCAGTTACCATAATAGGGGAGACACTTTATATTGTCGGAGTTTGAGGGTATGAAGATCCAAAAGAGGTTGAAGAAAGTATTTAGACACTTGGAGAAAACAGTCCCAGTGATAACAAAGAGACTAGATGGCCGGTTTAAGCCAGAAGATATGCAAAGAGTTATGTCATGAGGTACGATCAGTTACAGAATGTGGTAAAGACGTGTCATCACCTTCTATATTCTACAGCACATGTATCAAACTCAAGGCCCGAGGCCCAAATGAGGCCCACCACAGCAAGTTATGTGGCCGGTGACAGCTTCAAAGATACATTAACGGTTTCCCCTGGCACATTGATTTATAGGCCTGGCAATTTACCAGGGTTTACTTGCCCACCTGCTAAGCTAAGTGTTGTTGTTTTTTATTTAGATTGGAGATTGTGGTGCAACAGGATAAGTGACTTGGACCTAGCATTWTCAATGTAGCGCTACCCTAACCTGCCGTTAAAAACGATACTGCTCTATTTCATGTTTAGTCAAAGTTGAACGCGAAACATCAAAGTTAATTAGAACTGTCGCTTTGAGGGCCACCCTTAATGTTCATGTAGCCCTCAGTGAAAATGAGTTTGACACCCTCAGCTGAGGAGGTGGCYTCTCATTAGGGTGCCTCCTGGATGCCCCTCTTTGAAGCTTTTCTGGGCATGTCGAACAGAGAGGAGACTCAGCGCTTGCTGGAGAAATTAGGTATACTCTTTAAAGGGTTGCCAGATAGGAAATGACAAAATGTTGTACTGGTGCAATAAATTTAGAATTATATTGTATGTGCTGGGAGTGAGGGTACACATTCTTGATTAAAGGATAGATGGGGGGCAGAGTGGACTTTTTTTAACCAGTGAGGGGTGGGGAGGGGGTTAGGATGAGGTGTGTGTTGTGTGTATAAATACAATTATTATTATATATCTGGCAACAGCTTCTTTGGACTGGGAACATTTTGGTATCATTTTGGGTGTCGCTGGYAGAGTGATGTCTGGGTCTAGGTTTCCCAAAGTGTCAGTAAATTACTTGGGAAAACCATGTTCAATTGGGGATTTGCACATTCCCCATATTTAGTCTCAAGAACATGACTTTATAAAAAGAAAACAAGTTGAAGGACATGAATTTGTATGACCATAATACAAGTTTCTATGAGATGGTCTATTCCAAATGTCTCACTGTTGGATTACTTCTGGAAAAAGTAACACCTCATTCTTTTCCCCCAACAAATATATCCTACGTTTTGTAAATAGCTCTTTAAAGAACCTTTTGGTGAAATTGGGTTTTGTTCCGACTGTATAACCAAAATAATGGTTAGTCTGAGCAGAACCAAAATCAAAATGGATCGCTGCAGTTTTACAAAAATTTTAAAATGGTTAATGAGAATTTTGAAAACCTRTACACCATTAAATCAATAAAGTATTGTTGTCTGAAATATTTAATTTCTTTCTGTACCAGAAGTTGCTACAGCTAGCTGCTGCTGCTATCGAGGCTAGCAAATAACTATAGAATGTAAAAATCTATCTGTCGTTGTGCAACAGGTCTGAACTTGGGGAAGAAGATCAGTGTTCCTAAAGACGTGATGATTGAGGAGCTGAACCTTGCATCTAATCGAGGCTCTCGCATGTTTCAGGAGAGACTGAAGAGGGCCGACAAGTTCACTGTGGAGAACGCCTCCATCGGTCCTTACTACACCGGTGTAAGGCCCTGAGACAAGACATGCAACATCATACATACACTCCACTTAAATCCATTCTGGGGTGTCTTCAAAAGAGACCAATTGACTGAAAAGATTTTTGGGCACACATGCCAAACCGTTCGGCATAGATCTTTTTTGGATAAGGCCAATAAAAGCTTTATGTTATAAAATGTTAGGGTTATCACATTTTTTAAATCAACCTTTTCTGCATTGTTGTGTAAGAACAAACCCACTTTAGGTCACCACAACAGCATACAAACAGGATCCATCAATACAACGACGCTCTAACAATTACCACAGGGTATTAGGGAAAGAACCAAAGAACTATAATCATTAGTCTTGACACACATTAACGTCATTTGAGGTCTAATTATAACCTCAAAAATCTAAATTGGCGTGTTTCCCAGGTTCACCTCGAGGCCGAACCTCCCCAGCAGCTAGCCCCCYTGCCACAGGGAGGAAAAGAGAACCAGGCATTCTCAGTCCCTGGTAAGCACAGCCTGGTCATGAACCTTCAGAAGACTGTAGCAAAGAAGGGCAGTCCCGGTGTCCTGGCTCCAGGTAAACAGTAACACGCGGTGAAAAAGGGATTGTCAAAGCCTGAAACAAACCATGTGACTGGCTCCTTGTGCAAAGCCAAAGCTTGGTTAATGCATGAACACTCAGAGAAGCCAGAGCTCCCTTTTCCAATGGAAACGCACTGAGAGCATGAATTTGTTTTGTTGTAATTAAAGCCAGGGGAACCTGGCYGTTTTGTGGAAAGCAATTATCTGCGAGCATCTCTGCTGAGGGGTTGTTGTTGTATATTTGGCCTGGCAGAAGACACTGCTAACAGTCTGATGAGCAACTAAGCTCCTTTTATTATCAGAGATTCACACTGAGTTTGAATTACTATCACTCCCATTCCTGACAGGAACGACATTTAAGACGTGTGTGTGTAAATGTGGTCTGTGTGTGTGTGCTTCGATTCAGCATGTTCCTTTATTCAGCTTGTACATTTTGCATCTAAAAATCATACTTAAGCCATTATCTTATCAGAAAACAAAGAATGACACCTGACATGCCTTTTCTGGCAATCAAGTTGAATTTTTTTTTCCCCTCAGGGTATTCTGGACCTCTGAAAGAAATTCCCCATGAGAAGTTCAACACAACAGTAATCCCCAAATCCTATTGCTCCCCGTGGAGAGAAGCTTTGGGAGACAGCGAAGAGCTTCTGAACGCCCTCAACACCCAGCTGCCACAGGTCCCACAAAGACTAGAGCCTGCCAACTACAGGTGCTTCAACAGGTAACGCAGCGGCCTCTTCCTCCATCGACTCTGTTCAAGTTAATCAAACCTCATCAAATCCTGTTGAGTTTGAAACACGACTAAAACCCATCTTCCTAAAAATAAACCCTAAAATGACCTCACCGAGTCATTCATCCTCCTCCTTTGCCTCGGCTTCACTCCATGTTTCCACAGTTTGAAACCGAACGCCGTCTCTAGCTTCTTGGGAGTGCGGCAGCGAGATGGCTATTTTCATCTCCGTCCCTTGACAGATGATCCACCAGGGTGGTGGGGTGTCTACGGAGCTTTTCGTGGCCCTACAAGACATGCCACACGTAAAATGGGACATCACCTTTCTCGCGGCACGCATACAGGGCGGAACAAATGTTAAGGTTATAGGCAGATTGAGAAATGAGGGCTGCGTGAAAGACAAACTCGGTCTCGACTCAAGAGCTGTCAATCAGATTCTGTCAGCCCGTCTGAAACTGCATCCTCCCCCAGGGAGATCCACTTATATCCTTCAGATTATTATGAAATTACAGCGCCTTAATTAAAGCTTAGCTCTAATGGTGGGAGCGGCAGAAAGAGAGGCCGGGTTCAGTGCACACCCAGTTGGATTCATCTTGAATCCCTGCTGGTTTAAAACAGAGCGTATCATGTATCGGGTATCCAGTTATGGGGAGTGATACTTGGTGTTCTGTAAAGTGACGGATGTAGTATATTTAGTAAGGAGTCTGTTTTTTTTTTTTTATCAGATCTGCAATGCCATTCGGGGGCGCGATGGCCAGCAAGAGAGTGATCCCAGTTATTGGCTTCGAGGCCGTGGAGACCCAGAAACTGCCCGGAAACACTTTGGACCGCATGTACCGACGACCCAACTTCAACAGAGCACCCAGAGGATGGGGCATCGATTTCAGTCCTGAATCTAATGAACTCTGAAAAKAAGTTAAACTAAGGACTAAAGTAGAAACGTCTTCCTCTTACAGAAGATCCTTCTGGTGATCATAAGGAAAGTGAAAAATAACCCCATGACGTGATAAATTGAGTCAGCTGCTACCGATTCTGGTTTTGAGCAGTTGAGCCAAAGGCTGCTGGTTTATAAATAGTCAAATCAGGTTGATCAGTCTTATAGCCTTGCTTTAGTTCTGTAGCTTTATCTATTCATCGCACAAAACAAAACCATGACTCATTTACAGTGGGACAATCTGGATTCAACGGAGCTATTTTAATGATTTAAAAAAACATTAAAAAAACCCATACAATAAAGTAATGATGCTGTTGGAATTTAAGATTGCATTTACTAGTAAACAAAACAAAACAAAACAAAACAAAAACACACACAAAGTCAACATAACTGAAGATGAACAGATTTTAAAATGCTCCTCAGAATTCAGCTCTATGTTTAATTCAAAAACAAAATTAACATGAAATAAAGGGGGTTTCATATGTACACCAGCCCTACGTGGCTCTGGTTATGTTGGTTAGTACGCTTAAGTCTTTTTTTACAGTTTCGTTACTTATCATTTGTAAGAAGTGAAGTCATTATGTGCGACCCATGCTGGATTTTCCTGTGACACAGACGGTGCTCTTTCAGTTCATTTCCTTCTCTGCAGGTGGGATTATTAAACAACTAATTCCAGCGGKGCTCATTTCCACTAAAAGTCGTATTCGGGTCTGCAGCAGCCTTTTTTTTTTTTTAAAAAAAGCAAAAAACATCTGACCGGGTTTGACACAAGAGRGAGACACGCCTAATCTAGCAGTTATTCGGTGTGACGTGAGGCAAGTGCAGCGTGAGCACCCATGCGCTGAGGATCCTGGGAAGGATAATGGATTGTCCCTGGAGGTCTCATCGTCATCGGAGGGGGCACAGGTGGGGCCATGGGACCCATGGGGTGAAACATCGGAGGGCCAAAACCTGAGAGAGCAGGAGAGAGAGAAAGAAAAAATACATTTAAATAACTAGTATTTTCTGCCGAAGCACAACTAACTGTTAAAAACATGAATTCTTACCTGGTGGGGGTGGGTTTATGCCCGGGGGCGGGGGCAAAGTGATGTTCATGATGGCAGGAGATGAGCTAGGGTCGAGGTTGAAGTAGTTTGCAGGAGCTTCTTCATCTAGAGCTGGTGGTGGGGGCAGAGCTAAAATAACGAAAATAATTTAACAAGCTTTACTTTGACCGAAACTTTGCATGCACTGATAATGCAGTGATTTGTTGTTTATTAAAATCTAAAAAYTAAAGCAACTATTACATATAAACATTAAATTCTATTTTAAAATAACTTTTGTGTGACTGTTTGTTGTACACAAGAACACCAGCTCTGTCTGCAGACTCACCTCCAGGCAGTCCAGGAACAGGATCGAGTCTGGTACCCATCTCACTCACACCATCCTTCATACCCTCTTTGCCTTTCGCTGCTTGAGACCTAAAAAGGCAKAATCATGGATTAACAACATGCAAATATAAAAACAACAAAGGCACTTGGCAGAACTACACCTGTTAAAATTAAACTCTCCGTGTCTCTTGAGTTTCACCTTTTAAATGTGCTGCAGAATTTATTTAAATCCAACTTGTAACAGGGGTGGTGGGATTACCTCAGGCTGTGACAAACACTCCTTGAATCCCACCTGGCATTTAACAAGCAAATTCTAGCTCGCTCTAAGTGTCTCGGCTTGGTGGAGCTGCGCTGGAGCTAAGAAGCATCTCACCTTCCCCACTTGACAGTCAGCCTCCGTCCATTGATGATCAGCTTGTTGAAGGACTTCTCTGCAGCCATCTCAGCCGCCTGTCGCGTGGCAAACTGGATGAAGGCACACTGCTGCCTCTGCACTATAGTGATGGTTCGAATTTCACCAAATTGGTAAAAGTGACCCCTGTAAATATGCAGATATAGAAGCTTGTTAGARCAAAACTGTTGAAAATTTTAACAAATATTTAAATTAATAAATAAAATAATTATACTAGGATATTTTAAGAAAGCTTTACTTCAGATCTCCATCTGTGACYTTATCACCCAGCCCCCCGATGTAAAGGGTGGTGATGGATTTGTCCTCTGGTGGATCCAGTCGGGGCATAGTTGAGGCTCGCTTCAGCAGTTTGTCAGCGACCGGATCGTTGATGCCGTAGTAACGATCTTTAATGTTCTGGTCGGCCAGAGGGTCGTCAGGATCTGTAGGCTTCTCGTGCCTGTGGATAACCACAATTAATTACGACAAATACAGAAAACRGTTGTCAGTCAGTTCAATGACAACATGTCAATACTCTTTTTAAACCATCGAACAATCAGCCTTACTGCACGACGTCTGAAGCGTCCAACTCTTATTTACCTGTAGGGACACTCCTCCCCTCTCTTACACTCTCCCTTCACCCAGAAGGAGCAGATATGGGGGCGGTTTCTCTTGTAGTACGGGGTAGTTCGAGCCAGTTTCAGCAACATGTCACTGGAGCTCGTGGCCTTGCCAATCTGGCCCACTGCCCGAGTGCCATCAGTGTTGGCTATCTGTGAACACACGGGTTCAAACAGAAACCAAAGATCAAGAGAAAAGCTTAAAACAATAAACTCTAGATTTATGCTCTAAGTACCCCAAGTGGAGCTCATTTCAGGATATTATGACTCAGTTCAGACCTGGAATCAACGTCCACCTTGGGTAATTTGAACCATTTGAGTCATATTTACCGTTTATTACACAACATTTCAGTTTACCTACTTAATAGGCACAATATAGGAAAAATAAATGAATATTTATTTCAGCTGATTAGTAACTTCATTGGTCATTGTGTAAGGGAAAAAAAGACAAATCTCCATCACAGTAAAATTGTACTGAGAGTSTTCAGCTGTTTTCTGCAGCTTCACTGTAAACATAACATAACACTGGGTTTAATTAGGCAAATATGATGCAACATAACACAGCTCAGACTGTTGTTCTGTGATTAACACAGCACATCTTACTATACAGTGTCCACAGCAGGTCCAGTGAGGTCTTCACACAATCAGAACAAACATTAACTTCTGCTAATTCACTGACTGATAAATCCCACCCAATAAAAATAACTTAAGACAGACAGACATCAGAACCAGAACAAAAGCAAAAAAATGTATGACCAGTATATCCTCCTGGATAGCTTTAGTTTAATTTAACCAGATGGCAGCCAACGTTGACTTTATTTTTATTACCCCAAGACATCCAGGTCACAACCCTGCTGCTTGTGTTGGATCACGTCGATTTTGTAGGACATCTACATCCTGCCTCAGAATGAAACTGCATTCAAACTAACCAAACAAAAGCAGATTAAAGGGCTCCAAAACCACCTCAGAATGTGATGTGAGTGAAGATTCAATGTACACTATGCCAGTTCAGATCTGTATTTAGCTTTATACAGACACAATCTGATTGATCAAAATGAACGTTGGTGCAAGGTCTGATTGGTGTAAAAGATTAAAATTATTCTAAATTAAAAATATAAGAGAAGAAGCAATGCTATGTTAAATTATTAGCAAGTGAATTGAAAATAAAAATGCATAAAAATTTAATCRGTCATTGCAGCTGAATAAAGTTCACCATGCAGAGCAGTTGCATTGCAATCCTACCTCTCTCTCCATGTTCTGTGTGTAGTACTCTTTATTCACATCTGACCTGGGAATGTCATCTTTTATTGAGAGTCCAGTATCTCGAACCTGGATAGGCAAACCTGCCAAACACAAATTTTATTTAGCTATTTTYTAACCATCTTTACAACATGATCCCATAAAATTAGAAAAGTGCCAAATGAGTAGGTGACAGAGACTCACCGTACTCCAGGTCTAGAAGACACGTCTGACAAACATTTTTCATTTTACTACAGGTCTGGCAAACTTCTGTCTTCTTGAAACGCATCCGTGTGCCTGGGCACCATCTGAACACGGTGAAGGGTCGAGCACAAATCTGACAGGAAAACAAGGAAGGTGAAAACTCAAAAATGCAATTAAACAAAAACACTATTCCAAGCTTCCTTTATGTTGCATAGAGTCCTGTGGAGCATACCTTGCATTCTTTCCCATATTTCTCCTTGGTCTGTAAAACAAGCATGAATCGATTTACATGTGTGTCAACACTGCGAGCCAGCAGCTTCTAGTTGAGCAAATGAAAGCCCACTTACCATTCGGATGTATGGATTTTCTCCTAAACATGTCTGACACAGAATTGGAAAATCCTGGGGGGAAAAAAAATCAAACACAAATTCAGTAAATCAAGCATTATAAATGTTAATAAATAAACCATCTCTTTTTAAAAATGTTCTCTGCTTGGACATCTTGGCAATTTTACATGCAGGAATACTGAGAGCACCATAAGATCAGCTCTCCCTCACTTTGCCATCTGTTGTAAAGACACTGTTTCGGTCCAAAGTGATGGCTGCTGAACATGACCTTGCTTTAATCCATCCTTTGMACGGCTTCAACCAAACATCTAAATATAAGCACCACTTGTGGCTTAAACACTAAACACATATTCTAAAGTTACAAAGTTTATAGTCTGATACCCTAAAAAACAGACCAAATAGGCTACACATTACACAAAACAGCAAACTGGTTTATCCTAAAAATATAGTAGAACTACAACCTTTTAAGCTGTCAATAAGTACAATTACTTTACAGTTATAGTTCTACTAAATTGCCGAATAAGTTGAGTAACCGTACAAAGCTGATCGTATAAAAATGTATTTGCTAAGATCTTTAGCAAACTGCTTCAATTCTTTACAGAAACACTGACGTCATAGTTTGAACTGGTTTTAATTTTTACACATACACTGGTAATATAACATAGCTTAATAAGGTTATGTGGTCTATTCGGTGCTTTATCATTTGTAATCATTGCTAGTACATTTGAGTACGTTATATCTGCGACTACGATCACTATTAGCTTAGCCTTTTAGCTTGAATGGCTAACTTTAGCGCAGTCCGTGTTCAAGTTTAATTAAGAAAAATTCTTTAGAGCCCCCGTATCGTATGCCGTTGCTGGATATCTACAACATACACCTCTTTGATTCATATAATACAATTTTCCCCTTTTCTACTTAATTGACGTTAACTCTAGAAATAGTTAACCATTGCTGGATGCTAGCTAGCTACCTGTAGCCACGCTTAACTAGCCAGTGCTACTAGCTAGCGGAAGGCTAACCGGCTGCTTCGCTAAGCGAATCGATGTAAATTTTCAGATATTATTAATCGTAATTTAACAACCGGTTAATATTTGGTTAACTCCTTAAACGGCTGCTTCAGACTGAGTTTATTTATATAGAACTAAAGGAGTAAATTCACATACCGCGTCTTCCCAGTTCTGTCTGTTGTAGGTGTTGGAGCCCAGGGAAGTCGCCATTTTGCAGACAGTGAGCCAAACAACGAGAGAAGTCAAAAACTGTCACTTCACCACTTCGCCTTGAGGTGTCGCCCTATTTCAAGAAACTATCCTTACATTTCCCCCCCATATCTAATTGATCTAACCAGTAGCCTCTTTCCTATTTGCAAAGCGGCTAAAATTATTAAAAATAGCAGTACAATAGCTTCAGCTAACGGAGACTGTGAACTAGTGAGAACAGCAATAAAAATGATAGCTGCTCTTATTTTGAAATTCACTGGTTAAACACGAGTCCTTTTGAGCCTAGGGCAGCAGGAGGGTTTTAAAACAGCATGTCAGTTTTAAAGCGCTTTTCTTCTTCTTGTTCTTGTTCTTCTTCTTATTATTATTAATATTATTATTATTATTATTGAATTAGTTGTAAGCAGCCTTTCGGTCAACAGCTGTCATATAAACAATAAGTCTAATCATAGTCAACATTAATATTCGTTGACTAAAGTGGTCCCCTGAGAGGGAGAATTTTCATTATTTCACATCAAGAAAAATGTTTTGGGACCCTTAATTACAGTTCTGAATTAAATATTCAAAACTTTAATTACACTGAGCTACTTTGTTAATGATTCAGAATTTGATTAGGGCTTTAATTCCTTGTTGCTAACCCAAAGAAAGCTACACTCACCGTTTCTCAGTATTTTGTGTTGCATTTTACTCATAAATTAATTTATGTGGCTATGTTGATGGCATTTCCATTCAGAAAATCAGAATGCAGTGTAGTTCAGTTCGCTCTACTGGCACTATTTGCTTTTATATTTGAGCATCGTGGCTTCTTATTATCACGATAAATAAATTATTCAGCTGCTTTCTCAGCTTCTTTGTGTGTCAGAGGAAAGGGGAGAGGGGCCTTGACACTTGCCTGTAAGCCAATTGTGTTGACCCCTCATGGTTTATCCATCCACCTGGTTTAACTCGGTTCGAGGCTGCTTTGTTGTGTGAAACTCTGATTAGCGGGCTGAGGGATGCTGAAGATTATGGCTTGGCATTAAATCCTGAATGTTTATTTAAGTTCAGAGTGAGGTGGAGAGTCAAAGGGCAGAGATTAGTTCAGGCTTTGAAGAGAAGCTCTGGTTTTGGATACATCCAGGGTAAAAAAAACCAAAAGAAGTGTCTGGCTGTTGGACTAAATTTTGGGTGAAATGTATTTGCTTGCTCTGTGACCATAATGGAAATTTCCACTTGACTCCGCCTCTTGTTTTCCTTCTTCTATGGACTTCACCTTATTTGTAGGACACCAACCTCCCAGATTCTCCGTTCCTAATGAGTCATGTGACTTCTTCTTCTCTGTCATGTGACCTGCTTTATAGGAAGGCTTTATGATGGAATTTTCCACAAGAATCCTTTGTGTCAGAAGGTTGTAGGTGTTCAACATATATAACAAAGACTCTTTGTTTTAGAGTCCAATTTAAAGGGATATTTTGGCCATTTGAAGTGGTATTTTGTGTTAAAATTTTGCTTTAGATGTCCAATGTTCCATATTGAAATTACCTATTAAATTAAGGCTATTTTAGACACCCAACCTACAACAGGTAAGATACTTATTGCTCATGACCTTTATTGTAAATAACACTTCAAAATGGCWTTTGTAAAGTTGGGACCTCATTGGTTTGTGACACAGCTCGGGGGTCTTGAGAAGACCTACGGGGTGAAAAAAAATCGCTTTAAAAATAATTACCAGCAGCTTGTTTAGTCTCAAATGTTAAAAAAAATATTTTTGTAAACAGATAAACACGAATAAAACGATTAAGGTTTTTTGATTGAATGTTTTATTAACAATGTTGGTTTACTTTAATCTGCTCTGTAGCATGGTTGTAAAGGCACGCATCACTTTGAATTACAAAAAGATTATAAAAAAAAGATTCATTTCTTGAAAATCTGACATTTGCTTTGAATGCAGTACAAAACAAATGGTCTTTGATGCTGTGGTCAGATATTCTTATCTTTCCCCTGAGCGCATTTTCATGGAAAAACTGATAAAAGTTTGAGGTTAATTCACTTGAAATCCTTTAAAGAGTGGTATCTTACTCGCTGTAAATGCTCCTATAATCCCAGCAGCATGGAGATAAAGCTCTGCAGGAAGATGCTCCTCTCTCTGGCTGATGGATGCGCGCGCATGTGTTGAGACACAAATGTGCCGCGCGCTGGCGCCTCCTGTCGTCAGCTATGTGCCACTGCCGGTACAGGCGGCTGAAAAAGAGAGGGGCTTTCTCACATTTCCCGATTTCTCCCGGCTGTATCCGCCGTACGGCTCCCCTACAACGGTCGGCAGCGAGTCGAGACGACGACGGTCGGCCAGCGTGCCTCTAAAAGCCCGCACACATTCCGGCCAGCTCACCGTCTTGTCCCGGAAAATCGAAGCGAGCCGAGGTGAGTACATCGAAACGAGAGAAGTCCGCTCCTGTTTTCTTCTGTTTGCTACACGACCGAGAGACGCTCCTCCGCTCGGCTCCGGCTCCAGGCAGGCCGGGGCTACCACCAGCGAATGCTGTGTGGCGCAGACGGAGATAAGGCCAGCTTTTTTTTTTTTCTTTTCTCCCGGCCTGACTCGAAACACGAAGCCCTGGCGGCACCGTGGACGCTCGGCTCGGCTCCTAGCAGCGGTGAATGGAAGCTAGCGTTTGTGTTGACGCCGCTCGGCTCGGAGTGAGGGTGCCCCGGGATAGAGCCGTGTGTCCGGCTGCCCGGCTCTGTGATTTAACGTCGGAATTTCTGTCTTATCTTTTTTTTTTTTTTTACTTGTAAGTTCCCGTGAAATGCAGCATGTCTACCGTGGACAGGCGAGCAACTTGTTTATGTAACTTTGCAGGGGCTGCAATAAATGTTTTGAGTGCTAACTTGTTCTAGTTAGTTCAAAAATATTAGCTGCGGGGATAGAAAACAGCAGCTTTGGGGTTAAATTMAAGAAAATCGTGTGCATAATATGGAAGAGGTGGGCAAAATACTGTAACAGTGGGTTTTGACTTGATTGTCAGCTGTAATAACAGTTCAGTGTTGTGAAATTATGTCATTAATTTAATATGATTTGTTAGATTGCCTTTTTATGAGTGTTATTCCTCAGCTTAGTTTTCCTCTCAAATAGTCCARTGTAATTTTAAGACAAAAACAATCAAAAATCATGCTCGTTTTGCCACGCGTTTGAGTCAAAAAGTAGTTTATTATAATTTGATTGTGAAACACAGCATCTTTCTGCCTAGTTTTTTACTGCTTGACCTAAACCTGCAACATGGATACTSCTTTCTGTCTGTCTCCATCAGTAGCTGCATGTATTAAACACTATAAACACTTGATTCTGCTTTGTAAGGGGGAGTGTTGCTGTCCAGACCTGCTTGAAATCTCTTTGCCTTGGGGGTGCACGCTCATGCACACACCAAAGTGAGTAAGATTACTGAAGAAGAATGACTCACGCTTTAAATGTATTTGGCAAAGTCGCAATGACTTCTCCCCACGTTTCGCCCTCAGCTGCAGAGCTAATTCTGCAACTGCGATGTGTGCTGTCCCTCTGGCTTTATGAGATTTATTCCACCAGTGTTTCACATTAATGTTATCCCCCAGCCATGTGTTGTTTTATCATATGCTCCACCCTGTTTTTTGTTTGGGGGAGGGGGTATTCCATTTGGAAATTACAATTAACAAAAAAAGAGGGCTTTTGCTGTCYTTTTGTTTTGTCAAATTTGCAGGGAGTCGGATCTTAAAAAGTTGTGTTCTGTTGATCTGTGCCAACTGGTTGTTCTAAACCTCCCATCTGACTGCTTCCACTGGCTGCCAAACATGCTGTGGTCTGGCGCTTTTAGCTGATGAYGGCTGTCTCGGCTGCTGCATGGGTTCGATCATATATCAGCATTATGATTTTTTTTTTTTTTTTTTGCTTGAATATACCTGCAGTGTGGTGCAATGCTTGCCTAAACTTTAGAGGCTGATTTACAAAAACCATGTTTGCATGTGACAAATCACATCACCGAGAGGCATTTTTCTGCATGCTCTGTCAGAATGAGCAACAACCAGATCCGGGGGGTTTTTGAACTGAAAGGTTGTTTGTTGCTCCGAGCTTCCTTTTTTTTTTTTTTTTGCTTTTAGTGTTATCTCCACACAGAGGAGGATGTTGATTTGATTGCATCCAGGTGCTGTAACTCTACCATCACATTTAATGCTAAACAGAGTAATTGTTGGGAGCTACAGGATCCACGACATGCCAGCTCTTGTATTTTTCCATGTCAGTGGCCCTCGTAGGCACTCTCAGTGTGTGGGGAGCAGACCTCGCTTTTAGTGCGAGGCTAAAGCCAGGCATCTTTCCAAAACTCCAGCTCCCCCCCCTCCCCTCACAACCTTCTCTGCTGGGTATAAGCACTGCTTTGTGCTTCAGCAATGCTCCTGATGGTATTTAGTCGTATACTACTACAACACCACTTGCTATTGGAAGCTACAATTGGAAATGCACCTAAAATATCCTGCTGTTTGACAGACAAACTCAGATGTTCCCTCCATTCAATCAAGCTTTTGGATTAATATGCCAGAATGCAGGAGGCGGATTGTAATGCTGGTTTAGTGTAAAACATCTCATACTAAAGTGTCTTTTTCTGCTTAAAATGTGGATGTATTTTTTTTTTTTTTTTGGCTTCGGCTCCACAGTTGTGAGTAGGAGCAAAGTAAATACATTTCGAACAGCTCAGCAAAACCGAGTATTAGCAAATGATCCGATAGCATCTGTAATCCTCGGGAAAACCTGGAGAGTTGTTTTTTGAACGGTGCTAGTCTCTATTAGACAGTTGGCAGGATTGGGGGGGGGGTCCACATGTGTGACTGGCTGGCTAGGCTAGCGACAAGGCTGAATGSTACAGTATGCAGGCGGATCAGATTACTGAACGATTAGCCATGGCCTCCGATCCACGGCCCAGGGAAATGATTTTCCACTGTCATAATTCCCTAGAATGAATTACGCAGGCCAATGACTCAGAGATACTCAATACTATGGCCCTGAGTACTGCGTGGCATAACTGTTGCTCTCTGGAGAGGGGGAGATATGTTCTGCCATTGTTGCAGCGGATCAGAAAATAGTTCTCTAATTTTAATGTCTAGCTGAGCTTGTTTTGGTTGCACTCTAAAAATGATCATTGTGACTCACCGATCAGAATGAGTGTGCAAAGAGGTTCGCTTTAAATTAGAACTGTTAGGGACATTGTACATTAAGCAATACGTAAACAAATGTGTCCAAGTTAGCTAAAAAAGCTAATTTTATTCTCAGGTCCCTGATATAATTGTTTGACAAAAGCTGAATGATTTTAAGTACTTGTTTGAGTAGGGATTCCAAAGATTTTAAAGGGATCCCCGATTAGTTATAACATTAGACTTTATTTGATAAACATTTATTTTAGCTGTACAATAAAGACTGTAAAAATACTGTAGACTGTTCAAGTTTGGTAAATTATTAAAAATGTATTTTAACATGGACGGAGCCATTTTATTTACACACAAAGCATTCTGGGTAAATGATGATGTGGATAGGTCCTCGGTCTGAGCGAGCTATATCCACCCTGAACAATATCTGATGATCGACTCTTTTAAATGAAACCAGAGAGCGTTGACAGAGAGGAGAAGGTAGAAATGACTC